TACATAAACAGAGAAGTAGTCATTTTCAAGTAGAATAAGATAATATGGCATGGTTTAAAATTAGAAAAGGTGTGTATCAGGATTATATAATTTTTCTCATAATTATTCCGTTTAAATATTGCACAAATCATTCAAGAAGCTGGACTTTGTGAAGAAGAATGTGGCATCAGAATTGGAGGGCAACTCATCAAGAAACCTGCTTTATGTAGGTAACACAATCTTGCTTGCAGAGAGTTAACAAGACTTGAAGCACTTATTGAAGATCAACCAGTACAACTTTCAATATGGGTGATATTTCAACATCAACAAAACAAAAGTCCTCACAACTGAACCAATAGATAAAATCATGTTAAATAGAAAAAGCAGTGAAGTTGTCACCAATTTCATTTTACTTGGGTCTGCGATAAATACAAAAACCAAAAGAAAACCAACAGATGTGGTGCATTTGGGGAAATCTGCTGTCAAAGACCACTTGATATGTTGTTCCTTGGTTCACTACAAGTCACAGTTGACTCTGTGGCACCGAACAATAGTGTATACCTGGAAGAGTACCTAGAAAGTGTTGTTGTTTAGTTGTTAAGTGCTGTCGAGTTGTAGGCAACTCATAGCAACCCTTCGAACAAAAGACCTGAACACTTGTATAACTTTTGTCCTTTTTCCAGGTTCATAGGGTTTCTAGACGCAAGCTATTTAGGAAGTGGATGCCACTCCTGCTTTCAAGCTGTTTTAATCAGGGAGCTCCACCAAACACTGTCCACACCATGGGTAACCGTTCTTGCATTTGACACATCAGTGTCATAGTGTTTAGCTTCACAGCAAACACAAGTTCCCTCTGTACGGCAAGTAGACAGACCAGACCTAGAAAGTAGTATGAAAATTTTGAGTGACTTTGGTTTGCCTGGTTCATTCCAGGCTGAAAAGGGCAGGGAGGGAGATACAAGGACTTCTTGAGTAAGAGAATTCAGGGAGGGCCTCCAGCTTTAGCTTCAAGCTGGATCCTTAGGGAATGTTTTCATCCACAGAGAAGCCCCACAAATTAACAAAATGGGGAAACCACTGGACCATGAACAAGGAGGATTTAACGTGTGGTAGTTATATAAACAGCTGTATAAATCCATATATTAATATTAGCCTAGCACAAAATAGACTCTTTTAGGAACTTTATGTTATGCCTCTGTGCCTCTGTGTTGAATTAAGGGTCATGTTACAGTACTTTTCGTTGAGCCAAAAATGGTAACTTTCCATCAGTAGCTCTTGAGCCTTCACTCCCATGACTTTGCAATGGCTGTCTCTGAGGATGCTGGGAGTTTCCCCTCTCCCTGTCCCCATATCTCCACATTCCCAGGTGCCTTTTCATTTTGCACAATTGGTATTGCCAATAAAGCTTTGAAGTTTGTGAAATGGATTTTGCCAGGGAAGTCACAACCCTGCATAGTTAAATTTTTAAACGTTTTCCCTCTACTTTTGAAAATTTTCAAAACTCAGAAAAAGAAAAAGAATGGTAAAATGAACACCTTTGTAAATAGTAAAGGAGTGGTCTATACTGCGCCTGAGGCCTACTTTTGTAAATAAAGCTTATTAATAAAAAAAGACATTTATTTGCCTGGCTAACAATGTATA